CTCTTTCTGGAGCACAGAGCAAAAATATTTGAAGTTCATCCGAGAGCTTCGATCTCGCTCCTCCCATAGCTCCACTCTCTTGTACGGTACTCTTAACTGCCTTCTTGTCTTGTCTTTCCTGTTGTTGTTGTTGCTTTTGTTTAAGTAGCTTGGATTGGGCTCTAGTTATACGTTGATCTTTAACTTCTGTCAACTGAATCAAATCCAAAATTGGAGAAGAATCCAACAAGGGCTCACTCAGAAAACCTCCTTCTGCACCTTGCACGTTTTCTAATTCCTGCTTAGACTGTTCTTTCAATTGCCTCTCTTCACTCTCCTTAATCTCCAAAACTGTAGATGTACGTGGAGATGGTGTTCTTTCCTTAAGAATAGTACTGTAAAAGTGTTGTGCCTTCTCCACGGTATTCAACCGATATCCTTCTCCCTTATATCTAAAAATTATCCCAGCTGGTGCGTCCCACCGGAAGGGTATCTGTAAATTTCTCAATTCCTTAACAAGAAAACCAAATTCTTTTCTAGCTTTCAGCATTTTAGGAGGTAATTCTTTAAAAATTTCAAGTCGTGAGCCCCCCACTTGTACAGAAGTGTGAAAAGATTTTTGCAGGATATCATTTCTAATTTCTCTCTCAGTAAAGTATATGACCACATCTCTAGGCAATTGTCTTTGTCTGGCCACCCAAGAGTTCACTCTGTAAATTTTATCTATTTTATGAAATACCAAATCAGGATTAGCTTGTAAAATCTTAGCCAAGGCTTCAGAGCAAACCTGTCTCAAATCCTGTCTCTCCTCCTCTCGAATTCCCCGAAGCCGTATGGCAAATTCCATCGCCCGGAATTGTATCATAACAATCTCATCTTCAATTCTCTGCATTTTATTGTCAACTTCATCAATTTTATAATCATTGTCTTTCATCTTAACATTAACTTCTGATTTGAATTCTTCAACTTTAAAATCAACTTTCCCAATAAATTCTGCCAGGCCAGACGCCACTTCTGATATTTTTTTGGTCACCTTATTTTGATTCTATTTCACCATGTCTTTAACTTCATTAATTTCCTGCATAAATTCCTGATGTGATTTTTGAAGTTTATCATCTATCTCCTGTTGACATTTTTGAAATTTGTCATCCAGAGTTTTAGAAATAAATTCTTTTAAATCTCCCACATCAAATTCTTTTTTCTGAGTTTGTAGCTGTTGAGCAGGGGGAAGTTGCGTTTGATGTTTGTGTGTGGGGGATCCCCCCCCTAATGCCTTCCCTTCCTGCTTCTTTGAAGCCATCCTGGCTCGTGATCTAGTTTTTCTAAAGAGGGAAGTTCCTTTTCCTTTCCCTCCAGCACAAAGACTTCTAAAAAAGTCCCCCAGATTTGATCAAACAAGGGTTAAAATAAAGCAAAGTCCAATATTGAAAAGGGAAAAAATTTCCCAGTTATTTCTCTTATAACAAGCAAGGCAGCTTAGTAGCAACTTGGAAACTTTGTAGCAAAACAAAATAACTTCACCAATCCACACTCGCTGGCTCGTTAACTCTGAAGCTAGGCGCCATGTTTTTTTCAAAGCACTTTCACTCATTCGCATTTTCTCAGATTGAAAAGTCAACAAAGTGCTAATACTTGCGTTTCCAAATTTCAGGATTCAGGTAGTTTCGCTGTTTATTAAAGCTGGTTCTTTTGCTTTAAGTTTCCTGCAGCCGGCTTGTTCTGCAAAAGCAGAATCGTCCCACGTCGCCCGGAGTTCCAGCAGGTTGGGAGGGAGCCACGCCTGTTCTCTCCCCAGAAACTTCCCTGGGGGTTACAGGGGCTCAACCTGTGCCCTGCGATCTCTCCTTCTTCAATCCTGTGGATTTAGAAGTTTTCGAGCCGCTTCTTCATCTCGAAGTGGCTCTACAGGCAGCGGGGCTGGCGGAGCTTCAAAGAGCGCCGCCGTCGCCGAAGACAAGGAAACCGGAATCCACAAGAAAAGTTTTTGTTTTGACTACTAGCAAGCATATCTATTTCCCTCCTCCCTTCCCCCTCTCAGAGTTTGTGGCAACTTATGCGGCAGCACAAGATGGCTTCAGAGTTGACAGACAGTCCATAAAAAGAACATTTTAATGAGAAATTGGGAGCTAGCAAAATATTCATTTTTTTTCAGACAAATTCTGTTGGAACTGTCAAAAATGGGACATTGTTTCTCAGATTCTGCTTTCTGAACATTGTTGAGTTTTGGGGCTGCATGGACATAGTCTAATTGTCTTTTATTCTGATGTTTTGCCAGCTGTTGTGGCTCCTCTGTGCTGTATTTCTAGGCAACTGAACTGAGCTGACTGATTGTATTTGAACCTGGAAAGCTGATCTCTGATTGGTCCATATCATAGGAGTCCAAGAGCTAATTTGGTCTAGTATTTAAGGCAGCAGGCTAGAAAGCGGGAGACCATGCCTTATTCATGAAAACCAGTTGGGTGGCTTTGGGCCAGTCATTTTCTTTCAGTCCAACTCACCTCACAGGGCTGTTGTTGTGGAGAAATAGGAGGAAGAAAGTATATTGGATATGTTCACTACCTAACTTGAATTATTTGTAAAAATAATGAAGATGGGATTTTTTAAATGATTTTTTAAAAAACTGGTTTGCAATGGGCCAATTGAATGGAGAATTAAGATGGGTAGCTTGTAAATGTTTTAAATTAAATAAAAATGCTCACTATATCCATCCCACATTCACTGTCAAGCATCAAATCCACTCACTTTATCACCCCCTCCTGCACAATGACAGGTGTACCGATTTGAGAGTTAATTTGCAAGCCATGACATGGAATGGAGAAGTATTGATGGAGCACCATCTATATGCCCAGGAAGGAAGTACACTGCTATATGCACAGCAGTACATGGACCTCAAAACCAGGCACATATTGCTGTGTTCACAGAGAGAAGAGGTACAGGTCAAATACTGCCTCTTCCTCTTGATTCATCCCTGAAGCAAGTGGTGCAAACTGTAGATGCAATTAAATTTCAGCCTTTAAGCCCCCACTCTTTCAGTATGCTATGTAAAGAAGTGGGAAGTGCTTTTCTAATGGTAATCATATAACTAATTTTGAATTTACCTGAGGGTACAAATTTAAGTCTTGAAAAACATGAATCTCCTACTTTTTAAGTAGAAATCTAGCAAGAAATATAGAGAGGGCGTTCATTTAATAGGGAGGTCCCCACATATTCCAAAAATATTTATTTAAATGTCAGTAACAGCAGCAGATTGAAGGAACACTGACCTGAACAATATTTTGGGAACAAAATTGTGTGTGCCACAGATTATCTTTGCTTCAGTGGTGGGTTGCCCCCGGTTCACACTGGTTTTATAGAACTGGTAGTAAAACCAGTGGGAGGTTCTGCCCACCGACCCCAACGTCATCAAAATGCTTCTGCGCATGTGTGCATGCGGCCCCATTGCAAACCAGTAGTAAAGATAAGTAGAACCCATCCCTGCTTTGCTTATCTACTTTCTGCACAGCTTCTAAACATGTCTCTTTGAGATTTCTTTCTTAGCTCCTTATAAGCTCTGTTTAGCTGTTTTGTTTAAATCCAGTGCTCACTGAAAGTATATTGTCCTTTTTGTGTCAACTGAATGTTATTTTCTTTTTGTTCTAACCTGAGAAAAACAATATGAAAAAGAAGAACATTTAAATTAGGACAACTGGGTTTTATTCAATAGAAGTTAAAACTATATTTCCCTGTAAAATCTGAGGTATTACTATTAAAGATAGCGCTGTTCAGTAACACATGCACATAAACTCAAACAGAGAGGGAGAACTAGTAATTTGTTTAAAATACCTTCCAATGTCATCAAGTAAAGAACAGAAATATGAGCTTTGTTCACCAAGTGTGTCACAGTAACTGGATGTTTTCACCTTTGAACACATGGCAAGGAATTTACATTGAGAATGATCATAGTTTGACTATCCCTCCATCTGAACAAGCATTTGTAGAACAGGGTGTTTGAACTTGAACTTTAGCTATTGAATTGAGAGATTATTTGATAATTTACAGCGTTCATATGCTATAATGCTAAGTCTGATGAATTTATTTGTCTAAACCTTCTATTATTTCAACCAGATCCTATAGTTATTTAAGCTGAGGAAATGGTTGTCTGCTGAGGGAATGGAAAAGCCCCCTCAACAGCTGTACTGGATAGTAAATATTTAAGCCAGTGTAATTTGCATATTACACTTACATAGTCCTCACTTAAGGTAAACTTTTTCGGTAACTATTCTAAGTTACAACAGTATTGAATGAGGCGGACTTACAACAGGTCCTTGTAGTTGTGGCTGTCACAGCATCCCCTAGTATGTGATGGTAAATTGGGCTCTCAGTGACCGGCTTCAAATTATGATGTTGCAGTGTCCCATGGTCACTGATTGCCATTGTAACCTTCACTGCCAGCTTCTGACAAGCAGAGTCAATGAGGAAGCTGGCAGGAGGTTGCAAATGGTGATCCTGTGATTGCGAATGCTGTGGACTGCACAAGATTTTTCTAATGACAGCAATGGGGACTGCTGCCATTACTGCTGTAAGTCAGCACAGTCATTGCACTTTGTGGCTTTGTCACTTAGTGATGGAGTTTCCCGTCTCAAATACATTCAGTAGGTGAGGACTACCTGACCCTGGGAGTCATTCACAATGTGAAATATTTAAATTAAGATTTTTCTTTTTAAAAAAATTGTGAATTTAGCATGTTGATTTCACAAGAGTTCTGATCAAATTGCCCTGAGTCACAAGGCAGCATTTTTTTTTTAAATCATTTAAAATGCCCAGGTCTACCAATTATTATTGTTTTTCTGTTCTTCTTCTTCTTTTCTGTGCTTTTCAGTGCTTGAATCTGGGAAAAAAATAAACAACCCCAAAAGACCAATCATTATTATTATTATTGTTTTTTAATGTTCATTAGAATCTTGCCAAGAGATTGGAACCAGTTTGCTCTAGTTCTGTCTGATGTACCCACTGATTCTTTTGAAATATATTTTTTTTAACAGTCAGCCGTGGAAGTTGCTAAGCTACTCCTGGGAGTAATGTCTTCTTTCAAATGAATGTAATAATTCATGATCCACAGTTCCTTAAAGAATAAAATGCTGTACTGCATATAGGATGCTAAATACCGAACCAAACAGTAAGTAATATATCCTCTTTGATCAATAGTTCCCTGTACTACAAGAGGCTAATTCAATCCTAAATTGAATATTTAGATCTGTTTCTGAGAGCCTACAAGCACAAAACACAAATGTGTTCCTCGCTGGGTGCACATGAAGATTTATTGCAGTGTCCCTCCAGGAACGCATTCAACAAGGGTGGGTTTCACATAATGCTACTATTGGTTTGCCACCCAGGTGCCGGCTCGCTTCATGTACGCATTTGCCAGGTTTGCGCGTGTGCCTGCCTTCCACATATGCAATCGGCTTTCCTCGCATGCGCTTTGCTCGTATATGCACCTTCCATGCATGCGCCCAGCCTAAAAAATGTGCCTAAATAGGATGGCATAGAGCTGGGGCAGGTGGGCAGGCCCACCCGCGATTTCCCCTACCGGTTCGGGTGAACCAGTCCGAACAGCTGAATACCACCTTTGATATTCAACCCTTGTGAATATTTAAGTGTTGGGAATGGGTGATTACATTGGAGATAGTTATACTTTTTTTTTTAAATAAGCTTTTTCAGTACACAATAATGTTTGAAAATAGAAAAAAAACCCAACAGCTGTTTTATTCAAATATGGTTAATATAATCTTGATTTTAGGCTTAAGAAATAAAGGAATGATCATAGTCCAAGTTGATAGGAGTGCTTTTTAAGATTTGATCACTGAAGAAGGAGAAAAATTGGCAGACCACAAGACAAGGGCTAGATGATTTATGAAGCTAAGCAGGGTTGGTCCAAATTAGTCTCTAGTGGGGAGCCAGTCAGACATATCCATAGAAATTGATGCTTTCATCAGTCTAGTGAACATGATATTCCAATGTCATGCCAGATACTTTGCCTCCTTTGTGGTGCTATGTCATATTATATATATATTGCTAATCTACAATTAGACTCACAGTTTACAAAACTTAACAATTCAAATCCTAACCACAGACTTAAGAATTATTAAGGTAGCATCTAAGAAGATAGGCAGTTCCAAAAGCCTTGATTCTATTTTTCTTTTAATGGGGGTGTTCAGGACTGATAAATGCAGTAGTTCCAGATATCAAGGAAATTCTTTGGGTCTCACTTCAAGGTCTCCAATCATGATTTGTATAACAATGGATTTATTTTTCCATAAATGTTCAACCTTGACCTGCAAGTTTCAGAATTTTATAATTTTAAGATATAATTTATAATTATAAGAGCTGTGGTGGCACTGTGGTTAGAATGCAGTACTGCAGGATACTTCGGCTGCCTGCCAGCTGCCAGATCACCAGGCTCAAGGTTGACCCAGACTTCCATCCTTCTGAGGTCAGTAAAATGAGGACCCAGATTGATGGGGGCAATCAGCTGACTCGGTAAACTGCTTAGAGAGGGCTGTAAAAAGCAGTATATAAGTCTATGTGCTATTGCTACTGCTATTTTTTTCCAACACTTTTTCTTCAATCCTACCATCACCTAGCATAGTAACATCAATGAAGCCAGATTTTTTTCAATAACCATTTTGAACAAGATGCCTGTTTGTGTGATTTTAAAATCTCATAATATCTTAACCTCACCATTTTCTAAAATCTTGTCAATATGATGGCCTCAGGAGTTTTTACTACCTTCAAATCGAAACCTCTGACAAAGTTTCTGATTAATATGCCAAAGATGCTTTTTTTTTTGCAAGAGGCAACTGGACTTTCTGGTTTTTCTTTGAAGACGTTTTGCTTCATATCCAAGAAGCTGAAGAAGCTTCTTGGATGAGAAGTGAAACGTCTTCAAAGAAAAACCAGAAAGTCCGGTTGCCTCTTGAAAAAGGACCTTTGAGACATGTAGCAATGATAAACTTCTCTGTGCTTTGACCTCAATGAATGTTCCTGGTGATTTGTGTCTGACAACAACCACAGGGGTTAATCCCTTCTCACCCTAACACAGAGAAAGCCTTCCCTTTGATGAGAAATGAAACGTCTTCAAAGAAAAAACAGAAAGTCCAGTTTCCTCTTGAAAAAAAGCACCTTTGGGACAATCGTGACTTGGATGGCTGAGAATCTCTATAGACTTTCTGATTAATAATTCTGAAAATTTGGCTATGACACTATTTCTAATCAATTTGTGAAATTTTGCAGCAACCACTGATCATATTGATCTAAACTGATCAATTGTTTCATCCATTTCACTACAAATGTGACATTAGCTGTTGTTTGTTACATGTTGAATTAGTTCAACATGTTGAAAATAAAGCTTTCAATTACGGGTTTTTTTTTAAAAAAATACTCTCGATCTTAAACAACTCCATGCAGTTTTTTTGATCAGCTTTTCCTTCACTATCCTTCAAGTATTGACTATGCATTGGCTTGTTCTTCCAATTAACAAATCAGTTCTCAATGGTTTCTTCTTTATATTCAGCCTTCCCTTTCTTGTTTTCAAGAGCTTTCTTTGATTGACTTCCTTCAGGAAGGTTCTTGGTTTTTCTTAATGTAGTCATTGAAGCCATTTTTTCCTTCCTCCACAATTTGTTTCATCTGTGGGAGTCCTTTATTATCATTATCTGTTAACAGCAATGTGAATTCATAGCTGCCTTATATGCATTGAGTTCTTCCCAACAACCTAAGATGTCATAATGCAGATCCAAGCAGTTTCTTTTTTTGCAACTGACAGATGGAAATATTGTCAATGCACAGATTTTCTAATGCATTTTTTTGGTGTAGGCAGTTTACCATAGATTTTCAAATCTTGATATTTTGTAATGTCCAATTCTTTGTCTTCTATTCTACTATTTTCTGCTATTGATGGCTTCGACTGAATGATTCCCACCATTCAGTTTAGTCTTTAGCAATTTTTGAACCCTTTTGGACACATACTTTACTAATCACATTTTTAACTTATCAATGAAATAAGAGGGGATGCTTCTGACACAGGCAGTCTCTTAACATTTTAAAGCTTTTAAGGTTAAAATCAGAAGAAAGTAGTATTTTCTCCCACTTTGGAGATACACTCTGCCCTGTATTTTACTTAAGAGGTGTAGTAGTTGCAAGGAGAAGTTGTGATTTAACCTTTATGGAAAATTAACGTATTTGATTTTGTCCCTTTTAGCCTCTCTAGATGGCCTATGTGGGGAGGGATTCAAAGAGGAGACTTTGCAAAGTTTGAGGGATCCTTTTTGACCTTTCCCTTCCCCACAAATATAATATCCTAATTTTAGCCCTGTTCACTTGGTATTCTGAAGGCTGCAAGTGGTCCTCATGCTAAAGGTGGACAATTTCTGATTAAAACCATCCCCAGGAACATAATTCAACATTACATGGTGAAAACCAGTTTTGTGCACTAGCTAAGATTCAAGTCTAGCTTCAGCTGTAAGAACTTAATGGGTTATTTTGGCCATTCATCCTTTATCAGTTCAGCTTAAGCCGTATTTTTCAGAGTATAAGATGCATTCCCCCCCCGCAAAGAGGGTGAAAATTTGGGTGCATCTTATACACTGAATCTTATACACTTATACCTTCCCACCCGCCAGCCCCACCCTTTTGGAGCTTTTGGAGCCTCCCAAACAGGTCCGTTTGAGAAGCTGCCTTTGCAAAGAGAAGCTCCTTTGCAAACTGAGCTTTTGGAGCTTTTGGAGGCTGCAAACGCAGCCTCTCAAATGGAGAGCCTCTCAAGCAGAATCTTTTTTTCTTATTTTCCTTCCCCCAAAATAAGGTGCGTCTTATACTCCAGAACATCTTATACTCTGAAAAATACAGTAATTGTTGAGATGAAATAAGATTTTTTTCCCCAGCTTTACAGTAAAATAAAAAGTCATAATATCATGGATGGAGAACAATTTAAATTTCTGACAATTTTCCGTGATAACTCCATACAGACTATGCTAGAGTAGCCTGAAGTTAATCAAGACATGTCTATGGAGATTCTCAAACAACTAGGTCATGATTGTTCCAAAGGTGCTTTTTACAAGAGGCAACTGGACTTCCTTGTTTTTCATTGAAGATGTTTTGCTTCTCATCCAAGAAGCTTCCAGTCAGAGCTGAAGAAGGTTCCTGGATGAGAAGTGAAACATCTTCAAAGAAAAACAAGAAAGTCCAGTTGCCTCTTGAAAAAAACACCTTTGGGTTAATCAAGACATATAACAGATGTTGGCCATATCAGAAAAACCTAGCAAAATAAGTTGGTTTTACATTTTCAATATAGCTATCTAAGATCCTTTCAAAAATCCATTAAATTTTCAGTAAAATTCATTTAATAAATGAAACGAAATAAATTGTTTTAAATCCTGCCAATAAAACAATCTGGTGAACAATATGAAATGAGGGGGAGTTGGCCTTATTTGGCACTTTTTCCCCCCTAGAAATGAGGATTGTGATGCATTCTCTTTGAATGCAAGTTTCTAAAGCACAATTTTGTAGAGACTTCAAGAGATGTAGAGAGATTTATAGGAAAAGGTAGCCTCAGATACTTTTAAGTGAAAGGCAATTATAAATATTAAAAGCAATAAATAAAATAAATAGCCATTCAGGCAACTTTAACATTTATTTAGGAGCACAATAAAATAGATAGCAAAAGAAAGACTATCCTTTAATAAATAAAACAATGCATCAGGGCTATAAAAATTACCATTTTAATAACAAGGAATTTTGCCTAGTATAAAAGCACATGAGTACATTCTTTGTTTTAGCTTCCTTCTGAAGAGATTTGGAGTCTGAAATAAAAGAAAATGCTAAAATACCAAGGGAATAGTACATAGCAAATATTTCTGTACATTTAATGTCTTCTTACAACTGGATATGAAATAAACATCCTATAACTGCATTTGTTTCAAGATAATATTTGGGAATGATATCTAATTTTTTTTGTGGTCCCAAGTTTATTGCTTGCTTGTTTCCGTCCTGCCCAAGCAACAGTAGATAGAAACTGATCAAGGAGAGGAGAAATTTCCTAACAGTGAGAACAAATAACCAGTTAAACGGCTTGCTGGCAGAGGTTGTGGTTGCTCCAACATTGGAAGCTTTTAAAAAGAA